ATCAATGTTAACATATTGAAGACTTCTAGGTTAGTTTCAGTAAACCTAGTTACGTGTAGCTCATATTACTTTTTTTGGTGAGAATAAAATGTTTGCTTATCAAAACTTCTCATGAATTATTTCAGATAGTAAAAAAAATTCCTGGAATTACAGGTTTGCAAAGTGGATTTTTATTGCATTATATTTACAGACAAATCCATTATATTCGGCAAGTTTTTGAGGAACATCTATAAATATATTCATCATCTGAAAAATATTGGATGTGTTAGTGTACCCTAAAGCTATAGGATTTAGAATTTTCCTTGAAGAAGTTTTTAATCTCATTGGAATTTATGAGAATAGTCTTGAAATAATCAATGAACAGTATAAGATTTTATCAGACTAGGCATAGTAAGAATGATACGGAAAAATGAGTCAATAGGAGGACGAGAGAATGACTTACTTAGTTCAAGGTTATTTTTCAGTTTTTCTTCCCATGAAACCCTTGGTGAACATTGTTTATCCCTCACTCTTCAAATTCTCTCTACAGTTGGCTTCTGTGACATTTGATAGATTCAGCTAATATTTACTAAATGAATGTTCACTAGGGTATAACTTATCCCCATAAACATCTGCAAATTTGGTATTATTATTCTTGCTTTTTAGACAGGGACACAAGTCTTCATTAGGTTAAATAACTTATTAATAAGCAGGTTCACCCAAGAAATGAGTAGTACAGCTGGGATTTAATTCTAGATTTTTTTTTATCTCAAAATCTTGGTCTCAGTTGCTACACTTGCTTTTTTTTTAAATGACAATTCCTTTGGTCAATTTCCTCCCTCCATTATCTATTTGTTGGCATTTTTGGAAGAGTCATTCCTTGTTCCTGATTATTTTGTCTTTAAGCGGTCGTTCTTGCAGCAATTTCCCCCTTTTTTAATGATCACCTCTATTCAGATGATTCCCCAATTTGTATCTTCTTTCCACCCAAGCTCTGATCTTCAATTTTCTACTTATTTCTGATCTTTTTTGTTTGGAGGACCTGCTAGCATTTCATAATTTTGTCTAATATTCAGCCCTTCCCCTTCCTTATTTTTCCATTCATGTCATCCTGCTTCCATTTTCCTGGGCTTGAAAACTTAATCAAATTTGATTTGTGCCTTTTCTTCTCTGTTATTCTCTCTTAAACTGTAGAGATACAAAATGCTGTTTTGCATTTCATCATAATATCATAACGTGGCGCCATTCGTCTTTTTCTGTTCCTACTCTTGGGTAAAGCCTTTGAACTGGTTTCCCTGCCCTGTGTCTCTTTCTGTTCCAGCCCATTCTGAAACAACTTTCATCCAAGGAT